CAAAGATGCAACATTCCATAAAAATCAATAAAAAAATACAGAAATAAAAGTTGGACATAAATGCACAGTGGAACAGCGTGACAGCTAGGCAAATAGGTCCGCATCTTCCTCTTCCAATTCATCATTCGGGACAGGGGTGGTAACCGTGTTAGCGGAGGATGTAAAGAGTTGAGCAATCTCTGCAGCCTCCTTGTTCAGCGATTCCACCCTGTCCACTAGGGTCATCCGTGCCGAGTGGACGATTCCTGTGGCCGCGCGTCGGGAGAGGAAAGGCGCCAATGCAGATACCAGCTGCCCTGGTTCCGCTGCCGCCACCTCCGCTACCGTCTTGAAGCCCGCCGCGTACAGCTGACGCGCACGTGCCTGTAACGATCAACAGGAGCAAAAAGAGTAAAACACCGGCGAGACAAGTGGGCAAAAGAGGAAATAAGTAAACGAACCCTTTTGACCCCAGGTAGCTCCATAAGGGGGATGAGCTCAGAGGAGACGCAGTAGGCGAGTCGAGCGGAGAAGTCGGGGAGGAGGTGAGCGAAGGCCCACAACTCGGGATCGCGGGAGTACTCGGCAGCGACGGCGTTTGCTAGACCGACAGCCAGACTGGCCGCTGATTGAACTAGGCCCTGTAGGGCGCCACGTGATAGACCGTAGCGGCGCGCAGTCCGCCATATGGGTTCACAGCGAGGAGGCCAGAGCTCAGAAAGGGCTAATGCCAGGTAGAGGCGATATAGTGGACTCTCGTCCTGCTTCTACACAAAAGGTAGGATTACAAGTCGTGGCTCGATTGGGTGGGAAACGATTCAAGTTTTTCGAAAAAAAGAAGCAAGTGGGAGTGGTGGAACAAACGCATCCGAAACCTTGGAACTAACTGCATTGAGGGAACTACTCTAGATGGCACAACTACGGCGAAGGTTACTAAATCAGCAAATTATCTAAATGACGGTCGGATTCACTGGAAGGTAAACATCACTATGTCAACAAACCCATAAAATAAGCAGAAAAGTCAAAAGTGGTCAGGTTTGGCCCCCCATTATATGAGTAAAAAATGGATCTCTACGAATTGCAACATTCCTGGCAAATTAAGGGTATCCTTTAGAAGCTGCTACATAGATAAATCTACAAAGTAAAAGCCTGACTCCTACCTCCGCCAAAACAGTTTTAATTTTCTCTGAAGGAGAATATTCTGGGAGGGCCGATCTATCTGATAAGCTTCCGAAATGCGGTTCTGATTAGACGCCCCAGAAACCGACGGATGAGTAGGTTTGCAAAAAAAGTAAAGGATTGGGGCCTACTACTTTATCTGTTGGGATTTAGCCCTTCGTTCAACAAGAATAGCATCTGAAGGGGGCTCACCTTTCTAATGGGCTGCCCAGCAGCTTTTCTGGCCAGATATGAGTCGGAGAAGCCGATGAGAGTGAGAATGTTGGCCTCTTCTGGCGCCAGCCAGCTAACACGCTCAAAGAGAACACCCCAGTCCATGGAAAATGGTATCACAGTAGCCGTAGAAGGCGTCGATTGCTGCTGCTTTGACTGTAGGTAGGTGGAGCGTGGGATGACAAGGTAGAGGAGGTGCAGTGGGCCTGCGGTGTTGAGGGCGCGAGCGGCGCGGCGTAGGTCCTCGATCAGGCTCGCGATGTGGTCCGAGTCAAGGCCACCGCGGATGGCTGCACGACCCAGCTGGCCTGTCTTTTATGGAAGCACAGTGGAACGGTACAACAGAGAAATAATTTAACAGTCGGAGGCACACACGTGCGAATTCCAAATCGTTGAATCGTCTGGGGACATGTTCCCGTCCCATTAGTAGGTGGAGGTGTGTTTTGTTTGGTAACGCAGAAGGCACTGGTTCCCAAAAGGAACTTCCCATAATATCCAAAGATGTATGAGTATAATGGGAGGTGGTTAATTAAGAAGCGAGAACTTGTTCGACAACTTTGAGGGCGCTAGACTTAATGGGCCTAGGGTCAGGTAAGAGCCCTTCAGGAAGCATCTTGTAAGGATATTCGAAAATCATCCCCTGTTAGTTTGCTTCATAGCAATGTTAATACACATAGGAGCACACCAGATTGGTTAGGAAAAGTCTTAACAGTCAGGCACAGGTAATTTTAATGTGGCAAAATCATCCCATTAAAACACCCCCGGTATTTGTACCTGCATCGTTTATATTCTTCAGCCCAGCAGAACCGGGTATGCCTTTATTGGGGAGTGCTACAGTTCAGTCTTTACCAGAACCAGACAAGCTGCATGTTACGTTTTCGACATTGAAACTCGCGATTTTAAAGAGAAGTACAAAAGATACAAAACCTATTATCATTATGCACATAGCGGCATCGCACCGATTGGCTGTAGAAACATGAGTCCGAAACCCGTTAAATGGTTGAATGCATATTCCTTTGTAGAACCAATATGACAGGGTGGGAAATTCAAAGCAAAGAACATTCAATAATCCAACATTCAATGCAATTTTAGACGACGATTGTTCTTAAAATAGAAAATCAACCACCATGATGGCAATTCCCATCGAAGCAATAATAAGTATTATAAGTAAAATATAATGAACATTAACCGACACTAGGGTGCAGGAAATGCAGTTCCGCAGTTTTACACATCAACTAACGACATTTACGCATTTCGACAAAGAGCTCAGGAGCGTAAATAGGAAGTGAGTACGTACTTCCAGGTATCCAAAATGACTTGAACAAACCTACATCAACTGGGGAAATCGAAATGGGAGCTACCAAGAAAGCAGACGTCACACTCATTAACAGGTGATAAACACCAAATGCCATCACTTTGCTCAACTCTTTCAAATCCCTTATAAAGTGTACTGTTTTGAGATTGCTTGCCAGTGTATTGATTAGTGATGAAATATAAAATCCAAAAATTTCTAGTAAAAGTAGTAATGCGAGATGGACCGAAATCATTGGAAGACCATCCAGACTACACACCTTGAGTTCTATCTCCTCCGGAGGAGTAGAGGCGTCTGGTACGCAGAAACCACGGTTTGGTGAGCCATGGAGCGGTGGAATGCGCGGTGATTTAGTGAGCAATGGTGGCGTGGCCAAAGGAGCGGCTAGACTGACCAGCCGGCTGCGGATGAGATGCTTCAACTGTTCGCGCACTGTCTCGGCCAAGAGAGCCTCCGTATCACGTGCATTTGCTGCCCGGTTGGCCAATTGCACTGCAAAGAAGGTCTGTCCCACGCAGATCAGGAGATCCTTCAAGGTCTTCGTCAACTTGAAAGAGAGTGGGTTTAGTACTATATGCTCATATATGAGTATTTATTGCTCCACTTAAGGCACTAGTCGTTCAGCAGTTCGATGCATTTGTAGAGTAACTGCTTCCTAATTCATGGCTAAACAGGCTGTTTGAGGCTCCCCTATTCCCATGGCTAGTTGGTGTCCAGACGAAAGCCACTTATACGAAAAGTTCCAAAAATTAACAGACTTTCAAAATAGGCGACCTAAGCAAGGGAATTGGCTTGAGAACACATAAACACTCATGACGAGAGGGGTAGAGACTAGACAGCCATGCGCAAAAAGTGAGATCTACCAAAGTCCTGCCGTTAGGATTTGACTTCAAACTACTTATTGGACCGACGATATCTTTATTTTTAAAAGTCAGAGCCTACCATTATCTCAGTTCCTATTGCATTATTTGGTGACGGTGATATGGGTCCTGTTGAAAGCACAAATGTGAGTCGGAAGTTCGTATAATTTTCGAGTGATTTCTACTTCATGGAATCGCAAAGCAGCAGTCAAGCTAAAAGTACTAACAAGGTGAAGAACAATCCCCTTCTTGACCACTTGAATTCTTTTGGAAAAACCAACCATCGCTTATCATAGACTATATTACCCAATCACTAAAAAGTAAATCGGCCAGTGAAGCATGCTTGGGCACAGATATTGGCTCACCCTAAGACCCAAGAGAGACAGTATTAGCTGTCTGAGACCCTTTCCTCCATCGTAGAGGAGACTGCTGAAACAGACACCGCCGCCACTCTCGCTAGCCGCGGAGGCAGCGGCATCCATGAGACGGGCAAAAGCCTCACGCTCACTCGGTTGGAGGATAATGATGCTTTCCCCACAGCTGTCCAGGCCCGTGCGACCCGCTCGTCCAACCATCTGCTTGTACTGACTCCAACTCAGAAACGTCGATCCCACGTAGGGCTTACGGATTATGACTCTTAAGAAGAAGATTTCATCAGCTAAGAGGGTCCCTTAGTTAGATAACAATTTCATCAACACTACCTTCTAGCGGGAAGGTTCACTCCAGCTGCGAGTGTGGAAGTGCAGCAAATCACTCGTAAAGTGTCCCCTTCGAGAAAAGCCTCCTCTAGAGCTCGTCTCTCTTCTTGAATCAGTCCAGAATGGTGGTATGCAACCCCACGAGGTACTGTGGCCTCCAAAATGGGACAACAATTCTCAAGAGCATCGACATTTGGCTCACGTTGAGCGTCAAGACGCAGATTAGTGAGGAGTTGGTGCCTCCGACTTCGTATCTCTTCCCCCGCCGCGTCATCGATCTGCGAGGGCAGAAGTTCAGCTAGCAGAAGAGCAGTATTCTCACAGTGAGCTTTTGTAGGACAAAAGACCAGACAGGAGGGAGAACGAGAAGCATTTTCCGCTGAGGCCGTAAGCACCTCAGCGACAAGACCTACCAAGTGATCGGGGTCTCGCTTTTTCACCGCTTCTGGGTACTGAAAAGAGACAGGTCAGATAGTTTGAAAAACTGTGGACAAACCTTGAAATTAACTACTCTTTCGTGCTCTAGACGTTCTGAAAGACAGGAGTGCTTTGGGATAGAAGAAGGCGAAAGGATTCTGAACATGTTGTCCTCCACCTTTACATACTCTACCAGATCTACAGGTCGGAAGTTGTTTGTGTACAGTCGAGCATTGAGAAATGCGGTTAGTTCGGGGAGATTGGAGAGGGTGGCGCTCATCCCAATAATCCGCGTGTTTGCTACAAAAAGCAGCATTAGCCATCGTAAGACTTACGGGAGACAATCTTTAATTTTGTTATGACTAGTTCTAGCGCCGCACCTCGGGCACCGCCTTCGCCGATCATGTGAAGCTGTTGGGAAAAAAATGCACAACCTCATAATAACTGAAGTACCTCATCAACAATAACCAGCCCTAGTTCATCCAATCTGTCCAGATCTATCAAGCTGTTGACAATGCTTTGAGCCTTCTCAATAGTAGCGACGTAAATGGAGGATTTTTTCAATCGCTTTGTTGGGGGAATTCGTCCCTTGCTGCTGGCATACTCCTCGACAAGAAAGTCCAGTTCTAAACCCAGTGGATTAAGATCATTCACCTTCAATTAAACGAACATCACTACACCCTATTTAAGATCTACCTTCTCCTGAACAATTGAAACAAAAGGTAAAATAAAAAGAACATTTTTCTGAGCCACCAAAACTTCCGCAAGCATCAGAATTTCCGCAACTAAAGTCTTCCCACCGCTAGTCGGAAGGCTGTAGATAAGGTTCGCTCCTTTTGTCGATGCAGCCATGGAGAGGCACTCAACTTGCCAGTCTAAAAGTGTTGAGAACTAGGCCACCTTTAAAATACCGTAGAGATCGGTAATGCCTCGCTGTTTTGAAAGGAGCTCCATTACACGAATCGGCAATCCAACCATTGAAAGACAGCAAGAAGTCCTGTCTTTATAAATTTGACTAGCCAATTTAAGCTGACTTTCTGTGGGTGGTGAATTGTTTGCCACTAATGTACGTCGGTCGAATGTATCTAGCGCGGAGTTCATATGCAACTGAATCAAAAGGCGTTCTTTAAAGGACACCGATTCCCTGCAGTCTGGGGAGGTAATTATATGACTCTTTGAATGACGAACATTGAGTCTAGGAGAAGGTACGGAACGCCGGGGTGAAGAATGCTGATTGCCAACGAGGGCAGATAAGTCAAGAGCACACAGCCACGAATCTCCAGATTCATCAAACTTCGGCGACTCGAAAGCCTATAGGAGAAAGGTACGGTGAATTTGATCAGTAAATAATACTTTTGCATTGGAAGGCACCATCATGCTTGCATGCTAGACTCTGATGTGAACCAAGTTACCGGCGCCAAACAACAAACCAGCACGAATCCTACTGTGGATTAATTGATAGGTGAGCGGTTGAAAACGCACATACCTCTTCGATCACTTTAAACGTTTATTAAAGTGTAAAATTATATGACGTAGTTCATTGGCAGTTATCAATTGCTCCATTAGAAGGGCTAATTATGCTTCTGTTTAATAATGCAGGGCAAAATACACAGTCTTTGTCTTTACGTAGTTTTAAAAACCGCGAAAGTTTAATGAAAATTCACCAAGCACACCTGAGATATTTCAGCATATGGTTTAAAAACAAATATACCCGTCTCTGAATCACACTTGTAGGTTCCTACTCAGCAATACCTTTCAAAGTGACAAAATTTCGCGGCAAATAATGCATGAGCTAGTTATGTCACTTACCTCGCAAACTTTTTGGAGCACATTTATCTAATAGGATTTATGTTTGGGACAAATTTCATGACAAGTGGCGGAAGTGCAGGTTAAGTGGCTTGAAAAACTTACAGTAGTTTAATGTTGTGCCTATTCGTGAGTTTGAACCAATAACAATCGGGGAGGGCTGCTTGCCTGTGCGCTCTCCCAGCCCCTCTCGGAGGATGTGGGTCACTAGCGTTATCTCAGCTAGTTTTTTCTTAAATTTACTGCTTTCCGTGTCTCATTCCGCTAGTGAAGAGACATCTACCGTGATTAAAAGCGGCAATCTCACTTTAACCGGTGAAAATTCGCGAGATAGAGGTATGCTGTGCTTGCCTGTTCTTGATTAGTTACTTGTAGTAAACGCGACGCTATCGGACGCGCAGAACGATGCAGGGGATCCTAGGGATCAAAGCAATGATACTGCGCAAAGTATGTATGCTGTTATTACTTTTTCATTTTTCTTGCGCCATTGTTGGAAAGTCGTCTCATTATCATGACATAAAGTTGTTTTGGTTCTCATTGATATGCCTTTTTGAGGTTCAGTTTCGTCTGTTGCAAACTTCAAAAACAATGTTTTTAGGGCTCGTGTTGCGAAAATTTAAGCGTTAGAAGACTGGAGGACCAATTGTCTTAATATCTCGCCAAATGTCTTTGGAGTAAATAGCTTATTTTAAAAAGTAAAGGATGTGGCTTTATCATTGCTTGGCAAATCTGGGTTTGTGCCTTATTTTAGCAACCCACTGGTGAATCCAACGATAAGAAAGAAAATTGAACATAGTACCAACATTTTAATGTTACTTCGCTTCCATTTAAAGACTTTCTATAATGGCCCTTTTGTCTATATATTTCTATTTTCTTAAGAAGTCCATGTTGATGCCTCTTCAAATTGGCAAAAGGATGTCGACAACTTCGAGAGCGGCGAAAAAGTCATTACTCGCTGCCGTCTTCGCTCGGTAAATTACTGGAACTATACCCAAGGTCGAGCAAAGGTCGTTCCGGGCTACGAATTTGGTACAGTCGTTGGCGTCAGCCACTCACCTAACTCTCCTCCATACGGCGTATTTAGTGGTTCAGTGAATCCATATCGCCACAATCTGCGCCTCTTCTCCTTGCTCAACCCCTTCTTTTCCCACCTCCGTGGCAACTACGTATTTGTAAAGAACAAGTCTTCCGCTCGCCTCATCGACAGTCCGTGTAACCTGGTTTTCATTTTTGCCCAGTGGTGCCCCTTCTCCATGCGCGCTGCACCCTACATCAACGCACTTGCGCGAGCCTTCCCCCAACTTCCTGTGATAGCCATCGATGTGGACGAGTACCTGCAATTCCGGTGGAGTCTGCGTGTTTTCTACGTACCCAAAATCAAGATTTTTGTTGGAGATCATGTGTACAAGGAGTTTAATGGCACTGAAACGGATCTTGATGAGTTGGCTGATTTCGTTTGGCAGAATTTGCGTTAGTAAACACTCTTTTGGCCCTTTTTATAACTATATTAATGGTTTGTGTTGTCCGTTTAGTGACGTTCAAAATTCGGTCTGTCGAACTCCATTGAATGTTTTGCAAACATCCAGTGGCTTTAGTCACGTGAGAGATGATTATTCCTCTTAAAAGTAGTTGGTCCTAATCAGGCACCGGCACCTTAAATGACCATGTCAACACATACAGTTTCCTTTGTAAACGCGTGCTAGGCAATTTGGCTCATTCAGCTCAAGGCGATTATAAATGATTTCTTTACTGACATATTGATAAGGCTTTTGACGCATATCATCGGTTTGCGTTTCGACGTTTCGTAATTTTATTGCGTCTATAGAGATGTGACTACGTGACGTTATTCCCTCAAAGTGACCATGATCGGCGGCTTTTACGGCAAATGAATTGTGTGCTGTTATCTTAATTTGTACCCTGTAGAGTTTGTTGAGTCGTGGAAATCTCATATGGTTAGTTTTGAAAAGTGTTCCCAAGCTTTGTAACTTTTCATTCGCCAAGTAGTCATCTTTTTTCCTGAACTAAATAGTGGTTAACCAGTTTGATTTATCAGCAGCGTTGGTAGATTTGTTGAAGCAAATGTGGGGATTTAATTGCTCCAATTTGAATGTTATTTTATTGTAGTCCAAAATGTGATGCTTCACGGGCTCGTCCATTCATGAAGCAATCGCTCTAGCATTCAACCAACTGGGTTTAGTTTACATTTTTGAATGCTTAAACTTTTGCTTTGGCAAATGCAGTCAAATGTTTGGATTATTTGGCTTCTTGAATCAACAGATCACAGTTTGGGCGCAACCATTTTAGAACACAAGTAGGTTTTCTCAATCTATTAATTGATAAATGCCCTCTAATTCTTATGTTCTTGGTCTTCCAGTTGAATGAGCTATTGATAATGTGTGTCCTTAATTTGTAGGTCAGATCCCACAGGGTCCACTGGAACTGCGACGGGAGGACTTTTTCGGACCAATTCCCACTCAACTGGTATCACGCCCCAGCGACTACCGACTACAGGTGGTGTGGGTCATCTTTCTCGTCAGTTCCGCATACTTCTTTGGGTATTTTGTCGACTGTCGCGGGGTACGACGCCACATCACAGCGGCGCTCAAACTAGTGAGCCACCTCCTCGATCATCGTCGTCGCCGACGACGAAACGTTGCTGCGCACGCCGCACTACCACCGCCACCGCTGCTCGCCATTCGCTACCATTCTCACACCGAGTAGGCCTGGCTATGTGTACAGATCTCTCTTGCTTCCTTAGTGTTGCTTCCTCCATGCTGCCAATATACAATTCTTTCCCCCTAACATCATTCTGTGATGGAGTACGGTGGGAGGACTTGTGAATTTCATGAAGCAGTCATTGTTATCGTGGCAGCTGCCGCGATAAGAAGTGCAATTTGAATGAGATCTGGTAACTGCGGGTTGTCAATCAAGTTTAAGCGTCACGAGTATAGTAGAATAAATGGAGGGTCAGTCGGACGCTGGTTGCTTCCTCGACAGGGGCTGCCGGGTCGGCTTTTAGTCGGGTCGAAGTGGGAGGAACACTACGTTTGTATTAGTCGAGAAGGCGGTGAACTTAACGGGGGCTGAACCGGTTTCCGCCTCCATGGACATCAATTGCGGAGGCGAACGAGGCCAGAAAAACCTTGTCTGACTTAACATGTACAACATCCAAGGCGAATCCGTTTGTTGGGAAATGAAATTCATGATACCCGTGATGTAGTGTTTTGAGAATCCATCCGGCAGTATGTGTTATCGTAGGAGACGCTATGTCTAAGTACACTTATCTAGTTAAATTTGCTTTA